GCGTCTTTCAAAGATGATAGTTCTATTTTTTTGTATTATTATTAGTAGACACTTCTTTAGCTGCTTCATCGGAATTTTTCGTTTCCAGGTATGCTCTTGTAAGCGTGTATCCAGAACTTCATAACCTTCTTTTGTCAATTTTTGTGATTAATAAAATTAATATTTAAATGTTAAAAAAAATAATTTAATATTAGTTTTTATGTTGTTTGCAGTAGGTATACTTATTATTTTTTACACTAATGCACTTATAGCTATGTGCAAAAAAACAAAATGTTGACTAGTTTTTATCATATTTTTTTTATTTTGTTGATTTTTTTCTTTCCAAATGTTTTAATTTTAATTTTATATTTTGAAGTAGAATACATTTGCAAACAATTATGGACATGTATACAAAATTGAACATTTTACATTCTATGTTTTTGTACACTGAAAAAATGTTTATGCTATATTTGTTCGTCATAGTTTATCGGGCACAACGAAGATGCCCTGAATACGACGATAAATCATTTTTACATCGTTAGTGCTCACATCAAGCCGAGAGGTGAAGAAGGCGGTGGAATATTTCCGACGAGAGAAGAGAAATGGGAAGCGATGACTTACGCCGGTTCGCTATCTGGATACGCGAGCGGTCACAACTACCACGGCTTGGTGTTTTCAGTCAATACGATATTCGCGAAAAAACTCAGCAGAAATAAAATACGTGAGTTGAATTACTTTAACGTTGATCGCAAGTTGATGCACAATGTACCGATAGCCTATGAGTTATGACGCAAAATTATGCCAAAAAACAATAAATTTTGCATTTTTTTTTGTAACACTAAAAAACTTGTGTACAATTTATTTTTTTATATATCTCATTAGAGTATCAGACATACATACTGAATTATGTGTATTATATGGGGCTAGTATTAGTAAAATGAAAACAATGTGATACAATAATAATAACGCATTTTAACATAAATATATTACGTAATATTATTAGATTGTAAAAAATGTTATCACTTGTCACTTGTCACTTGTCAGTGATTAAACATAACTGCCATGTCCAAAACTTCTGTGAGCTAATATGTTTGCGTCCAGATGAATATTTTCAAATAATATGATGTACAAACTATTTTTTATGACTTATAGTATTTGTGTATTTAAACAGATGACTTTAATTGAATAGAAAAAAATTTGAATTAAAATAATATAGGAAAATATAATGGTATTTAAGACTCATAATAATAAATTTTAAAATGTATATATTATTATCTGTGGCACGGCGTAACACATAGGTGATATAGGTGCATTGCTGTGTTCAAGAATAAAAATATTACGTTTAGAAGTGTTTAACATGGGAATTATTCGTACGTAATATTATTATGATTTTGGTTTAGACGTGCGTTAATATTTTAGTTTAGAGTTTTGATTTAAAGGAAAATGATTTTAACACTTAAGTCATAAACTATCATAATTTGTGTAATGACAGCTCATCTTTACCTATCAAAATAGTCAAGTTGAAAAATTAAATGAATTGATCCATATTATCTATAACTTATATCACACACAACAATTTAGAAAAATTAACACATTTAGGTACCAGACCTAACCTAAGTTACCTTAACTATTTTTATATGTTGCATAATATACTTTTGTTATTTTCTTAATAAGTGCATATTCGATAGGTGTTAATAAGTGGTTGCAAGTATGACGTATCTATTAATATTTAATTCACTTTAAATATTCATTAANATAACTTTCTTACATTCATGTGTCTACCAAAATGTTGTCACACTCAAATGTACGTTTCAGCTCGGGTGTTTTTGACACGAGCACTGTTGGCTTCCAAGGCCAACATTAATGAAATTAAAGACATACTAACCAATCACGGAGCCGGTACGGCAGACGCGTTTCACGTAAACGCCGGTTTCCTCGAAGGAAGCAGATGTAACCGGGTATTCTATTCGATCGAGGTGACCCCGTCGGAAACCGATCAGATGTCAAAAGTGATCGTAACATCGGTAGACACCGAATCCATAGCCTTTTACACGAACAAGTAACCGTCCACACAATAAAATATTACAATCTTATAGTCATATATTCATAATACATGATATAAATATTTTTTAACTATAAAATATCTCGACACAATAGTTTTTAAAGTCCGCGCCCAATCAGATGTTTTATACTGACTGTTTAGGTCTTAGATTTCCCGCGATAGGACTTACAATAATCAAATGTGTTGTTTCTGTTGTGTGTCTAACGTCCCTTTTAGGAGCAATACAAATCTCAATATTCAACTTTGCGGGTGGTTTTTGGTTGTGAATTGAATTTATTTGAACTTTGTGGTACATTTCCCAGTTTTTATAAAATAGAAAAACTAGAATATAATATACGCAACACCGGTTTTTGACAAATTCGTCCATAAATAAATCCATAATAGGACAAATCATGTAATTAAAGTACTTACCTATTTTAAATTAATTATATTTTCATAATCTCAACAATTTAATAATTTAATATATAAGCTTTAATAACTGTCTTATTATCACAAAAAATATATCATCTCGTTCCCATACAGTATGTATTAAGAGAAGAAAATTTGGTATTTTGTTGATAGATTACAATTTTCGGATTGCGAGGAACTAAAAGAATCTGGATGGAAAAGCAGCGTGGCCAGAGAAAAAGTGTTTGAGGAATTACTGTTACAGGAACCAATATCAAGCTTGCAAGACATTCTGAGAATATTGGGATCCACTCGCGGTGGAAAATGGCAAATTTTTAGGGACAGGGATAGTGATTTTGTCAACACGATCAATCTCGGTAAGATAAAACTAAAGAGATACGAAACATTGACTAAAATACAGTGGTTGTTGTTGCTGTACAGTTATAACTATATCGAAGAACTGGAATTTTTTTCCAGTAAAACTATTTTTAATATGACGAAAAAGAGAAACCCATTTAAAAGAAAAACACGTGACTGGAATTTTTTGGTTTCTAAAAAAAGCAAGACTTAAATTGATTTACAAGATTTATATCAATTACTTATACTAACACTTTTAGCGGTTGACGTTGAAGTGTATGTTTCTTTTTAGTTTGAATAATAATCTTGAATATTGATAGTGCTTTCAGTCACAAATAATTGCAAATTATTTTTTAGTCTAAACATAAAAATGTCCCTATAATATTTTCAATTTTAACTACTAAGGTTTAACAATTTAAAACAAGGTTTCTCATAAGTTTTTTTTATAGAAACATAAACATCTCAAAAAAACATATCCAACTTTCAAAATGTTCAAATTTTGGTAATATTATATCTTTTTAATTGTATTTATTTATTTTATTACAATTTCAAAATTATTGTTCGTTGGAACTTTTCGCTGTATAACTTGCTGGTACACTGTATCACTCCACTCATTATCCTATAAATATTTTTCAATTCTGTTTGTGGGACAGTAAACTACACCAATGGATCATGAATTGCTATGACTTACAATTTTTTTAATTCATGTATTTTGCGAATGCGCAATAGAACTTCATTTTTGAAATTGCAACCAGTTGTATGATATAATTTTCGTATAGATAGATTTTTTTCAAGTAATTTTGATTCGTCAACTTGTATCCTAAAACCAAATTTGGCGTTATTAGAGCTAGGAATAATTTTTAAAAAAAATGTATTAAACTTTATTCAATTGTACGTAATTTTGGGTGGGCATACTCGGAAAGCCGAGAAAGTACCAACAAGAGCGAGCAAGAATTTGCAGCAGTGACCAACAAGTACATGCTCACCCCAAAGTTCATACATTTAAATTAAATTTAATACATTTAAAAAAAAAAATTATACCTAGCTCTATTTTTTAACAATTTACTTTTGAAATACAAGTTGATGGATCAAAATAACTTGAAAAAATGCAATCCAAAAATGATATGCAATATAAGGATCGGCATTAAAAAAAAATGAAGTTTTATTGCGCATGTACAAAATGCACAAGTTGAAAAAATTTAAGTAATAGGGTTTATGATCCACTACCTAGTAAAGATTAATGTCCCATAAACAGATTTGAAAAATATTTACAAGATAATTAGTGATGAAATGTACCCTATTTCCGAGAACACACTGTAAAACTATGTATTTTAAATATGTAATGACTTTTTCAAAACATTTCGATTAATTTAAAACTATTTGAACCAGTCCATGGAACGTTAGTTCTTACCAGTTGATAACTATATACGATTTATACGTATATTGGGTTTTGTTATTGGGTTCGAATTAGTTCAACTTACCTACCTTATTACTAATAGAAAAATAAATTACTAATTCCAATGTAAATATCTACTTACTGCACATAACAGTAATTCGTTATCTGTTCAATATAGTAAGTTTTGTTGTATTCCAACTTTAACAAAGTTATTCATTTTAGTGGCGATTTATCTAAATTTATTTAAAATGTCGTTATATACAGTCGTACACAGTTATAAAATATGTGTGTAATTTTTTAATTTAGCTACACTAATTACATTGTTAAATGTTGCATTGGTTAGTATACATTTCAGTATATTAATTTTTTTTTTTTAATTATTTACTTACAGGAGTTTTTGATTTTATTGAAAAAACGTGGACGATATGGACAAATAATCCCTTGACCAATCCTCCTATTATAAAGCTGTCGTTAAAATTCACGACTTTCATCAGTCCTTTTATAAATGAAGAAACTGAAAACCAGCCATATATTAGTAGAATTACATCAGGGATTTCTGATATTTATAAAAATGGTTTGGAGAAGTTCAAAAATATGTTTGATATAAGATTATATTAATACAAATTTTAAATTTAAATTTTACCAGGCTATTAACTTCACTAATTTAAAATTGTAATAACTTAAGTACATACGCACATATGTTAATTTATTATGCTTTATAATATTTTCTTAACGCAATTGAATACAACATTAGCAAATGGTAACAACTATATTTTTTGTTTTTTGAATATATTACAAGTTCTTTTTTTACCTTATATACATTACGAATATTATCCGATGGTCTTTAAAATGTATTATAAAATATCCGAATAAATTCTGATGAAGCACTCTTGGATTGTATTCAAAACAAAGAGAATTGTTATAACCCTTAGCTCAAATATGAGATATCCATGTGCAGTTAATCTGCTGCCATTAATGAAGTACTCTGAAATACATTTAGGCTCGGTTGATAAAAAAAAATAGTTGAATTTATGTTTTGTGATTTGCTTCCTTGAGGAGAATTGAATAGTTACGATTTATTAAAACTAAAATCATTTTTACATGGTTGCAATTTTAAATTGATTTTTATAAAGAACCTTATTCAAAATGCACAAATTAATCGATTTAACATTTCAATCAATGAACTCTATTGTAAATTATAATAAAATTCTCTGGTATTTTAGTGCATTGTAAATAAAATGGTGAATAGCACTTTTAGTTTAGAAAGTGAATGAGTTTAATCGGTCGTAGTAACGAGGTCCTGAACAGACCTTTCATTTTTTATTTAATATCCCTAATGATTGAAAAATAAGTTTTGAATGATCGAGGAGGATAGTGCCCTCTTAGTTTTATTTATTTACACTTATGAATATATAAATTATAGACCAACGATTGGAGGAGCTGTGATCGAAATTATACAAATGAAAAAAAATCGATTTCTTGTGAAAGACAGCAGGAGCAAGGAAATAAGAACCGTATACACCTCAGTGTCGTACAATTTGTACATTTTGGAATTAGGTAATACATTTAGTGTAGAGTTAAAAATTCGTAAGAGACTCAAGACCAATAGATAGTAAAACATAGTTGTTTTACCAATATCCGTACTTATATTGATTCATATCATAGCATGTATATTTATTACGGCTCTTCGTATAGACAAT